TTGAATCAGCAGTCATCTATCATTTATTCATGTGAAGCCCTGATTTCTGTCTAGATATTGCTACTACTCTATTATGTTGGAATTAAATAATATGTAGGCAAATATTATTCAACAGATTATTCACATTCTGTAAAGCACTCAAATTGCATTTGATAGGAAACCCAGCAATGCTCATATCACATAAAAAAAATGTTGGCATGTTGGAAATGCAAAAAAGTATTGAACGATATTTCAAAAAATTCTTAAAAAATTATTCTGAAGTTAGATAAATTTTGAATTTATTGAAATGTAAATATGTGAAAAGTATAAATAGGGTGAATACATTAAAGCTGATGAAGAGGAAAAAGCTATGTTTCATAAAAAGAGGAAAAAATTCAATTCTCGGAAAATTTCAAGTTTATTATATTATTTCATTGCTCTATCAATTTACATCCGTACCAGCCAGCATATATAGCAAACGAGAAGTGTAAAAAAAACGGGGGCAGCAAAAAGTGGATGTACGTGTAAAATTTTTTTAAGCCGCCATACCAAAATTGAATCAAGTGGAGGGTTGAAAGAATGTGTTAAATTAACTTCATCGACAAATGAATGAACAATAAATTTAAGGAAAAAATTGTTCTTTCGTCATTTGCCAAACGTGTCATACTTTTCTTCCTTTTTTATGTGTGTGCCTTTTTAAATTTTCGACAATCTAATATGTTACAATATTTGTTCTTTTAAGCTATAATGTAGAACGGCTCCAAAAAGCACAGCAAAACGTTGACGAGAAGAAAGAATAAATTTGCATAAGAAATAACATTTGAAATAAGAAATTGCTACATTTTATGGTAAAACATCCTTTTCAGTCTATTGCATGGAAAATAACTCATTCATCTATGTTATTCAGCGGAAAAAATGATATTCGAGGAAAAAAATCAATAACTCATTTCATTTGTAAGAAAAATAATGTTTTTCAACCTTTGAGCACCAAAAAAAAGTTATTCTTATTCTAAAAAAATGATCATATCAAAGATACTTCCTTTCCAATAAACACAAAAGGAGCCATTCTCTGCTGCTCGAGAAATGTAATAAAATATTATACAACAATATACACTCAGTGCACAACTATGCATTTATAAATGTTAACATGGTTATTTTTTCTATGATTTTTTTAGGGGTTTGTGGGACTCAACAAACATAAGAACAACGATAAAGGTTTAAAACTTAGTCTAGATTGCAATAAGATAAGTAGACTAGATAGTGTTGACGTGTTGCTTTGGTTTTTTAATTCATCCGAGCAAGTAACTCTCAATCTATCGTGGAATAGCTGTGTAAGAACCATCCAAGTGTGCTTAGAATAGCAATTTTAATGCTCCAGGTTAACATAGCAGCAACATTATTTCAGACTATTCAAAACTGAAGATTGTAAAAAAATAACAAGATACCTAAATTAGAACCCCCAATCTTTTCTACAATCTTCATGATTCTACAATGTAGTAAGTTACAAATGCATTGCAGTTGTGAATTATGAAATCCCTTCTGTGCTCACATGAACATGATATCGAGTGTGTACTGTATATTTCTCACAGGGAAATAATAAAATGACAGCAATCTAGTTCCAACTTTCTACATGTTTTGTGCTCAAATTTCTTTCCATCCTCACTACAAAACAGTTTTCATTTATTGCATTAAGCTCATACAAAAAAGAGATAGTTGTTGTGTGTCAGCTCCAGACAGTTGCAATAACTCAATTGCTATTTATTTTAAAATGATTTGCTAGCAATTTACTTAACGTACGAAAATCTACATTAAAGTTTGCACATGCACTATATTTCAATTCAATTATAGATGTGCTAAATGTTCAGCTTATTGAAAGGCTTTTGTATTTTACTGCTCATATGTGAATTGATTTTAATGCTCGTGATACTGGCATGTGAATTTTTTCTCTCAAAAATTTATGAGAGAATCAAAGGCGATTATTTTTTCATATAAATTTAAATTCTTGATGGACTTTTGAATTCAGGGCTGACAATTCAGTATGACGATAAATGCTTCAACATCCAGTAACATGTGAAAGTAACCCGAGTTGATATTAGACATTAATTCTTTGTTCATAACACCCGAATGGCACAAGTCAGTTAATCGATCATTAATCCGGTACCAAGCTGGTGTGATTCTGGCATGGTGCTGGATTTAAATCGAAGCTTGATGTCGGATTTCTATTCGATTTATTTTCGACTTGTGCCAATCGGTACGAGTTTTTGAAGTTTTTTTAACCAGAAATTGATATCTACCGCGGTAAGGTCTTTATAGTCAAGTCGTTAGACATCAAACTCTTCAATTCTCTTACACAGATTTTTGTAACATCGTCGGTTTGATTTCCTTCAGAAATTATAAATTCCTTGAATTCTTAAAGCATGAAATCAAAGCCATAAAACATTTTTAATTTTTCTTAAGCTCTATCGATTTCAAGGTTAACTGTTAAACACAAGAAAGTCAATATTGTGCTTCCCATTTAATAAAAATACTTTTTTCTATCAATAGCATTATCTCTTATAATTCCAATATGAATGCATGAATGAGAGCCAATTTTTCTTATGAACAATTTTCCTTTAAATAGAAATTTATTCCGATTCATATATTCCTCATCATCATAAGTATTAATGCTATTATCGCTATCATATGTATTTAGATGTCAAATATGCTTCTATGAAAAGAAAATAAATATATTATATAGATGAATGTGCTTCTTTATAGCCATGGATCTAAAAACATAATGAAGAGGAGGGAAAAATAAAAGATTTGGGGTTTTATGGCTTTGTGCTCCTGTCTTTAGTTTTATGGAATTAAGAAATTAAATTCCGATTGATTTTTAAGAGCATCAAATTAAGCCATCAATGTCTCATAATGAGTGTTCATCCAAAAAGAAAATGAATGAAGTGGCTGTACTCTATAGTCATAGATAGTGCACTAAACATGATTAGAATTATTCAGAATTGCCATTCTTCAGATTTGTATTATATAAAATGAATATAATTCCACATTGCTCACAAGTTTGATTTTGTATAATTAAATGGTACGCATTTCTTGTTCAACATGTTGGTCAAACGGAATATTTTGTAACCATCCCGAACGGTAGCCAGGAAGATAGTGTAATTACAACCAAGCTGCTGAAGACTTGAGACATGTTGGTGATAAAAAGATTAATACTTTAGGGAGTGTGGTTGAAAAATCAGGATAAAATCCAAAAAATAAGGTGAAATTCCTGATAAAATCGGTTCCGCACCACAGGATTATTTTTTTTAATTTTGGTATTAATTTTAAGTTTTCAAGCCTATTAATAGTTTTTCAGCATGTGCTCATATAATTTTTGGCAAACAAATCTTTCAAATGTGCATAACAAGCATATATTTTCTACCATTAGTAGGATTATGATGCTGGTGATGAATAGAATGAATGGAAATGAGGGCTTATTGAATTTGAAATAATGTGAAAGGGAATTCTTATGAATGTCAAATTTTAAATAATATTCATATCTCCGTCAATACTTGCCAATTACTCATATAGAGTTTCATTCAATGATGAAATAATTCACAATGTGGGAAGCAAAAGCTCATTTACTTATTTTTTTATACATATGCATATATGCGAGAAAATGTGAATGGAAAACATAAATGGTACATGAAGCGTTGGGTTGAAAAACGACACGTTTTTGATAATAAAAAAAATCACACACATCGAATACTAAATTGAGCACATAATTTTGAAGGGAGATAGTTAAGTGTGAATCTTAATGGATTGTTTATAGCTTTACCTTTGTCGGTAGAAGAAAGCGAATTTTTCGATTCATTTCAAATGAATCCAAGCTCTAATCTATTATTAAAGTATTTATAATGAATACTGAAAGAAATATTTGACTTCTCAATTGCACATAAATATTGATATTATGTACGATTTAGTAGAAGAATGCCTTGAGGACCTAAAAAATAGAGAAGATTTATGATAATCATGATAAGTTGACAAGTCACTTTAATCTCAATATAACAAGCAATTTTCAAGAGCGAGACACAAGAGAGACGACACATAGACCTGCCTTTGAGCTTTAAGGATTGGATCACGAACATATTAGTATGATTTTCCATCATATGCTATATCTCATCATACGATACTGTATAATCTGATATGACACTTAGTAGCTTCTTATAGGAAAAAAGCTTCCCATTCCTCTTATATAAACATAGAGTAGAGTCTCATGTGACATTCATATTTATGCAAAGAAATTTATATGAAGGAATTGTAAGCACATTACAGGATGATTATTTCCTTTTTTCGATGTAAGGAGAGAAAAAGTTAAGTAAAGGAAATTGTTTGGGAGCACAAAATAATTCAATGATTAGCAGTAAGTTATTATAGCACATTATTACGAAAATAATAGGAAGTGCCTGAATATGTCACAAAGCATACGATTGAAACTTATTTTAGGATTAAAAAGATTTAAGGATTTATTTTAAATTCTCGAATATTGTGCTGGATTTTAAAAAAGATGACTGCTAAGTGATTTATGCTAGAGTCATTCAGTAGTGATGCTAAAAATCTAGTGGACATAAGGTTCTCACTGAAGCTAAAAAGCACTTATGGCACTTGCTTAAATCTTTCGGATTAAAAGTAAATTGTTAGAAAGGGATGTGAATTGCTTGAAGAGGTCTTCCTGTCTCATAACATAGGTCTATGTCGCTCATGTCTTCAGCCTTGAAGGTGATTTTGTGTGCTTTTTTAAAAATTTGTGTTTTTTTTGGAAGTTTTTTTTGTTTCTCAAAATGTATAAAATTTCTTCGCTTTACACATAAATGGAAGCAATTGTAGAAATGCGCTGTTTGTCGTCTCCATAAGCTTCGAATTAATTTTTCATTTTAAATCTATGTCATATGTCAAGTATGTGCCGAGACATGAGATGAACACGAACATTAAAACGAATGAGTCAACATTTAAAAGCTCAATATGATTTGTAATTTTTAACTTACTGAGAATAATCCACTGGCTGTATGTGATGCTGATTGTGATGCAGCTGTACTTCCGTAATGTTGTGTTTGATAGCTGCTCGACAGAATTTTCTTATGTGCCGATGCATGTGCCCTGTATGCTGAAACACTCAATTTCATTGTTAACCAATCGATGTGATATAAATTATGATAATGTGGTGCATCTATGCATAAATTTTAACTCCAATCGAAATTAAATTTAATATTTTTTATGACACGTTTTTCACTTTTCACCTTTTTTTTGCTCAAATTTTATTTATTTTTGCTTTAAATTTTCAATATTAATGAATAATTTTATTTTGTGTGGGAACTTTCACATATTTCTGATGTCCTTTTTTTTGCTTCTTTAATATTTATTTTGTATGTGTGTCGGAAAATTTATAACAATAAAAAAATAACACAAAAATTATGTTCAGAAATGGATGTACATGTGTCAATAATATCGTTAAAGATGAGATATATCGATAAGAATCAGCAATAATAAAAGCATTTATGTTTGTATTTGTATATGATTGCTGTTATCCTTCTGTTTGTTCTGTTTCGATCATTACATGATTTATTGATGCTTCTCACTCACTCTCTTCAATGTACGCACGTTATTTGATTTGCCCACATACAGATAACATGTGGAATCGTCAAAATAATCATAAAGCATAGAGAGCATGAAAAAGATTATCTCATAAATTATAACGAAAAAAAAGTGTATGAGAGAATCGTATTATGTCCTGTTTAATGTCACAAACATTCACACTCGATGCTTATCACACACCAAAAAAATATCAAAAGTTATGAACAGCGGAGCAACTGAAATACATAATAAAAGAACAAAAAGAAACGAGAATGAATGTTTGAGAATATGAAAATCTAAGAAATATACTTTTTAAGACGACAAGAACTTAATATAAATAATGAGATGAATTTCCACAAGAATTTTTATTCTCACAAGTCTCACAAGCATAAAATACTCGACTGTGTTTTACAAATGGGATGTATTCCTTGTTATCTCTTATCTTTTTGAGTGTGCATCAGTGTTGATACCGAGTTATTTGATCAGACTTGGATCAGACAATTATGAGTAATCTTAAGGTTGGATCAATATGTTTGTGATTATCTAATTTATTCTTCGCCTAGGTTTTTAATTCGGTTCACATCTAAGTCTCCTCGAACCTACTCACAAGATATTTCTTCAATTATTTTAAGGAGATGACGTGTGCGTACCTGACTCAAGATGTCATTTTTTGTTCGAGCTAGCAAGACAACAACTACAGCACCACCTGCTCAAGGTATGCTTTGCTTTAAATTATAGTGGTCTGAACTATGTGCTTATTCAAAGCTTAATCTAAGGCATCTGAATCAACAACACTGATGTCCACAAACATTTGAGATGTTTGAAATAAAAATTGACCAGTTTGCATAAGAAGCTCTTATGACTTTATCATGACTTGATTTGCTTTTGATTTTTTTGCCTTTCAACGAACAAATTTTCTACATGACTTCCATGCTCAATGAAACTGAATGAATTTAACTTATGTCTCTTAAATGTATGTCTCTTAAATGAACTGTAAAATCTTTTCTAAATCAAGCAGTGGAAATTGTCATCTTCTACTTCCTCTCGTTTAACTGAGCTCGATTTTCATCGAGTAACTCTTTTCAATTAACTTTTACCCAACATTTTAAAATGAAATTAATTGAAATTAAATTTCTAAACGAGAAACCAAAAACCCGTGAAATTCACCCATAAACCAATTTTTCCACTTAGTCAGAAAAAGTTAAGCTATACTTTACATTCAAGATATTTCCCATATTTTTGTCTTGTTATAACAAAATGAACAAATTTGTAATACGAGAGTAATGTCATTCATGACATTCAATTAAATTCAAACTCTTCTCTTGCACTATCAACTTTTCAACTCAATGATTATGGTTTGGTGTAGTAATATCATATGCTTCATCATAACTTTAATCGTAATAGAGAAAGTTTCATGCTATTCACAAGTGTTTTGCTCATCAAGTTCTACCCAATGCACATCTCTCTTCATGGTTGTCCACAAGATTTTATTGTGAATTAAACGCATAGAATTCTAATGATTTACTAAGTTATTTTGTTGTGATATTCCATGGCTGTGTTGTTCTCATTGTTATTGTTTTTCATCTACTTTTTGTACTCTATTCTCAATGGAAAAACTTTAGTAGAATGAGAAATCTTTTCAAGTATACGATATTGACCCCACATTCCATACCAAAGAAGTATTCTGTCTGCAGTACTTGCAAAAACATTTCGAGATGAAATAAAAAATAAGTTACGAAACCTATTTCCTATTTCTCTATTATTGTGGTTCGCTTACAAATGGGATCCGTCTCAGTGTTCATCAAAAAAAATTATGGAGTCTTCCGATTATTTACCGTCTGCCTAACTTTATGTCAATAGGTTTTCTTTAATTTCCGAGAAATTTACGTGGTCTCCAATATAATGTACCTAGATTTCAATCTTTTAAAATAGTTTAAAATAAACTTTTATAAAGCTTTTGAGGCCAGCAAAACATTCCAGGGGATAAATCTTTAAGCTTACAGTTGTAGACGTCATAAATGAACGACCCCATTTTAATGCAGTTGTTGTACAATTTTAATTGAGTTGCAAGTATTCTGCATGCACTTCTGATAAAATATTAAGGCTTGGATGAGCAAAAAATAAAAATACCATTATGCTGATTATGTTTTTATGTTATGACTCGTGATGAATTTTGTATTCATACTTTTTTATAAAAATATATATTTCATAATATTTCAAGATGCATAATAAATAACGGAGATAATAAAAAAGAAAAACTTTGTCGCAATTAAGTTTTCGTAACAGAGAAAAATTACTTCCAATACATGATTTTTCATCCTGTTAGGGTAAACACTTCTGGATCAGTTCCAAAAAAAGTTACATTCTTACAAAGATGTCAGTAGTATGTTTTATGCTACATTCAAATTTATTACAAGCAACATATTTCAACCTTATGAAAGTTATGGATAGGTGACGTCAACCAAACTAAACTATATATTGCATAGAGAACTTGATTTCTTTAAATAACAAACAAAACCAAACTGATAATTTCAGAACCCCCACTACAAAAACATATGCTTTAGATCCATTGTGCATTGATGAAGGAACATATTCATTTTTACGTACGTTGTAATTTTATTTCTCTTCTGGTAGATGAACAAAAAAAAAGTCATTTCTTCTTCATCCACAGATGCATAAAAGCAGAATGAAATGTGTGGAATGATAATAAATATTCACGTATTTTTTTTGTCATACATGAGTTTATTTCTCGAATATTTTATGTTCATGTAAATTATTTTTTAAGGCATTTCCACATCTCCATTGATATTGTTGGAAGAATCATGTTTGAATTGATGAACATCATAAAAAAAAAGCTGTGGCTTGAAGAGAAAGGAACTCGAGACTCGTTAAAAATTAAAATGTTTGATTTTGAAAGATTTTTATTTAATCTACGAGAAAAGTGAAGAGAACCCAAAAATTAAGTAAGTCTTAACCTTTTTAGCGCATTTTTGAAACTTGTTTCAAAAAGGTAGCTTAATAACGCACTTTGGTCGGCTGGTCGGCTGGTCGGCTGGTCGGCTGGTCGGCTGGTCGGCCGCTAAGAAAAACTTTTAATCTAGACATCGTAGAGAGTTCTAGTTTTTTGCATTAGTTCCGTTATATCGAGTTATTGGCCCGCCGGACATTTAAAAATCTTAAAACAGTGTATTTATGCTATAATTAATGAATTTTTGTTTTGTTTTCAGTGTAACCTGCTCAAATTTTATTTTACCTCTATAATTTCAATATTACCTCTATAATTTCAAAAAATTTCTAGCCGTTGTAAAATTTGAATTTCAAAAAACCGTTAAATGATAAACTTTTTTTGTATGGAAATTCATTGGAACAAATTATTTAATTATACTATAATTAATTTTTTCGTAGTGCAACTTATAGCGGGAAAATTTCAAACTATTTATTGACCGTTAGAAAATTTGAATTACAAAAAAATGTTAAATGATAAACCCTTTCTGTATGAAAATTCATTGCAACAAATTATTTAATTATACTATAATTAATTTTTTCGTAGTGCAACTTATAGCGGGAAAATTTCAAATTATTATTATATTGACCGTTAGAAAATTTGAATTACAAGAAACCGTTAAATGATAAACTCTTTCTGTATGGAAATTCATTGCAACAAATTGTTTAATTATACTATAATTAATTTTTTCGTAGTGCAACTTTTAACGGCAAAATTTCAAATTATTTACTGACCGTTAGAAAATTTGAATTACAAAAAATCGTTAAATGATAAATCCTTTCTGTATGGAAATTCATTGCAACAAATTATTTAATTATACTATAATTAATTTTTTCGTAGTGCAACTTATAGCGGGAAAATTTCAAATTATTTAATGACCGTTAGAAAATTTGAATTACAAAAAACCGTTAAATGATAAACCCTTTCTGTATGGAAATTCATTGCAACAAATTGTTTAATTATACTATAATTAATTTTTTCGTAGTGCAACTTTTAACGGCAAAATTTCAAATTATTTACTGACCGTTAGAAAATTTGAATTACAAAAAATCGTTAAATGATAAATCCTTTCGGTATGGAAATTCATTGCAACAAATTATTTAATTATACTATAATTAATTTTTTCGTAGTGCAACTTATAGCGGGAAAATTTCAAATTATTTACTGACCGTTAGAAAATTTGAATTAAAAAAAACCGTTAAATGATAAATCCTTTCTGTATGGAAATTCATTGCAACAAATTATTTAATTATACTATAATTAATTTTTTCGTAGTGCAACTTATAGCGGGAAAATTTCAAATTATTTATTGACCTTTAGTAAATTTGAATTACAAAAAAACCGTTAAATGATAAACCCTTTCTGTATGGAAATTTATTGCAACAAATTGTTTAATTATACTATAATTAATATTTTCGTAGTGCAACTTTTAACGGCAAAATTTCAAATTATTTATTGACCGTTAGAAAATTTGAATTACAAAAAATCGTTAAATGATAAATCCTTTCTGTATGGAAATTCATTGCAACAAATTATTTAATTATACTATAATTAATTTTTTCGTAGTGCAACTTATAGCGGGAAAATTTCAAATTATTTACTGACC